CATATTTTTGTTGTTGCAAAAACGTGTTGGGGCGCACAAGTCGGGGTGAATGCGTTGAAAGATTTGAGCATGCGCGCGCGGCGACGCGCGCGTGCGCAATTCGTTCGTTTCGTCTGCTGCGGATTTGGGAACAATGGATGATTTTTGGTGAACGCGTGCGCGCATACGTTTTTTGCAAGAGATGAAAAAGGGGGGACCGATATCGGCCTGGCTGGGACTGTTCATACTTAGAGTGAACGGTGCAGCAACATAATCTGGAATTTGCTCGTCCCCAGGGCGCACCGGCAATCCCATCCTCAGGGAGTGGTAGATCTCATCTTTGTGTGAATCTGTACGTAGTGCGAACTCATTTTCTGTTCGCACTGACTTGTGGCCACTGCTTGCAAAACCCTCCCACTCACCCACCCGCAAGTTGGTTTCCAAAACCCATGCGGCGGCGATTGCGATGAATGCTTGGTGTTCGCTGGTGCATCTCTGCGGCCGCACTGGCCCGCGCATGCTCGAGCGCGCAACGGCCAGCTAGTTTGGCGTGACCGACGCGGCCGCGGTGGCGCTGACCGCTGGGCAGTTCCCCGCGGGCTCTTCACTGCGACTCGGCAACTTGGGCGGCCGCGGTATCATGGAAACGTCGGCAACGGTAGACACGATGCTGGTAGCGATGCTGGCGACGATGATGACAACGACGACGGCAAGGCCCGTGACCGCGCCGATGCTGATCACGCCGACGACGATGACGGCGTCCTCGCGTCGGTGATGCAATTTCTTGGAGGGAGTTCGACATGCGCGCGCGGCCGACGCGCGAGAGCGGCCCGTATGGTCAGAGTGAGGGGGCCGAACGGTCATTCATTGTCCCTGGGTGCGTGGTTGAACAAAGGAAGTCGTGGTGAGAATTCTGCTTGTTTCGTTGTTGTTGTTTGTTGTCGTCGTCCCACCCGCGACCCACCCGCGACCCACCCCACGACCCACCCGCGACCCACCCAACGACTCACCCGCGACCCACCCGCGACCCACCCGCGACCCACCCCGCGACCCACCCGCGACCCACCCGCGACCCATCCCGCGACCCATCCGCGACCCACCCGCGACCCATCCCGCAACCCATCCGCGACCCACCTTGCGACCCCTCAAGGCAAGATAAACCACCCGAACCCGTCAACTGACGCTTACTAAACGACCTTGGGCGTTTACTACCTGCCCTGTTCGATTCAGTCCTTGCGTGCGTTTACTAAACGGCGTCGCTTGTCGGGGTGATTCTTATGGGGTGGATTTTCTGCCCTGCCCTCTACACCCGCGACCCACCCGCGATCCACAGCGGCCCACCCGCGACCCATTTGCGATTGACTCGCGACCGACCCACATTTGTTTAACGAAAAAATCGGCGCCTGCGGCGGGTTCGTTGTATAATGTGTGAATGTTCGGCGCCTGCGGTGGGCTTCTCCAGAGTCTTGCAAACTGCCGACGACCCCACCGCCCCCTCACTCTTATCTGCATCTGCGGGGTGCCACGGTATCATTTGACAAGGAGCGTCCCCCCCCGCAACACGCGCGCAAGGGCGTTTGAATGATTTCGACATGCGGCGCGAGAGGCCCATTCGGCATAAGCAAATCAAAACGTTGAAACAAAAACCATGGTTCTCTTAAGAAACCGAAGGCACGCGAACATATGTTTCAATCTACGCAATGTACTGTTGCAAAACCATGTGTTCAGATGTTCTCGAAACACTCAATGTAAACATCCCTGCGAAACCTGGGGTTTAGAAGGATTCCGGCATGCGCGCGACGGCGCGCGCGTGTTCACTTCGTCGAATTTTGTGCCAGGGATTCCTGCGAATACTCACGCGCGCAAAAGGGCAAAGGCGTTCGAATGCTTTCCGACATGCGCGCTTACAGGGTAAGTTTTACCGTTGTTTTATGAACATGTTGACAACCGTAGTAGGTTCCCTTGTAAA